GGTGCTTTGGAGAAAGAATTTTTGCTGTTTTATTTTACCTTTTTCTTATAAGACAAGGTCACAGATTTTGTTTTTACAGCTAAAACAACATCAACAATAAACTCCTAAGCAGCAAAATCTCAGCTCTAGTTTTGATTCAGAACATGCGAAACCCTGTATAATGCTAAAGTATATCCTGGACAAGAACAAATCTGAGCTCCGTGACTTCAGCAAGACTGTCAAATACTCATGCATAGTGTAAATATCTATCTATATATTGTGTTTCACACTTAGGGTGCGTCTGCACTGCAAGGCTTAACTCGAAATAAGCTATGTAAACTGAGCTACATCAGTTGTGTAACTTATTTCGAAATAGCTTATGAGTGTGTCTTCACAGCACTTATTTCAAAATAGAGCACCCTTCCTCCGCCTTCTCTTATTCCTCGTACAATGAGGGTTACAGGATTCTGAGTAAGAAGTCCTCCAGCTTGACAGTATATTGACACTATTTCAAAATAATTGCCTGCTGTGCAGACACAGACTAAGTTATTTTGGAATAGTGTTGCAGTGTAGATGTACCTTTAGGTTTGATTAATGCAGTTTTGTATTGATCCATGAGTTTTATTTTTATTTTACAATTGTTTATGAAGTAAAAATAAATACTTCACTGCAGATTCCAAACCTAGATTATTTTTTTATTTCTGTGTGTCTGGTCTGGTGGTTATAGCACAGGACTTTAATTTGTTTAGGTGAAAAAATCTATCTAGTGAAGGAGCGTTCCACACACAATCATCTGGTTAATCTAGAATTAAAGTAAAAGTGATATTAAGTAGGTGTTTTGAAGTTCATATACATCTGTGGATCTTTTTCTTTCTTTCTTTTGCTATCTACTTTTTTTTTTTTTAAGACATATGCAAATATATTGATGGCAGGAAGGAGCAGTTTTGAGGGTCTCTGGCAGATGTGTCTTAACTAAAGAAAATGATTAAAGCAAGACTATCAGTCTGGATGTCATATGTACATAGAGAATATGCTACGTGAAGATGAAAAACAACAAGAAGCACTATACCTTGTGCAGAAATAGATCACAGCAAATATAGGTGTCTGAGTAATATGGGACGAGTTCTTCAGGCCTTGCTACCATTTAATACCTGGTCTTTTAGGTTAGTGAAACAATGAATTAACAAAATTGGTGTCTCATCATTTATGAAAGGTAAAATAATCAGGAAGCTGAGGATCCAGGAAGAAGGGAATTGTAGGATATACTTGAGAAGCCAGTTAAGGGTTTAGGAAAATCTTTTAGAACTTCTGGGTTTAACCCAAGGGAGGTTATGTTGATGATTTTTTCATAACAGACTTTTGAAATAAAAGGATAAAATGTAGGCATTCTGGTTAGGATTCATACATCAAAGGATCCAGCCTTTCTGGTTGGTACACTAGGGAAGCCTCAGAAGCCTTCTCCTTCAGTGTAAACTGCTGAGGCAGCTGGGTACAATCTACAATGCAAAATTAAAGGGTAACTTTAAAGCTAAATTGAAAACTGAATTACTCAAATAGAAAGCCTCACGCATCTTTATGGACAAACAACTCAGTCTAGACTTGACCAGTTTGCTCACACCTACAGTTGGATTTATATTTGTGTAGTTGAGGTTTTACATTTGAATGTGATTTAGAAGAGCTGTGTAGTGTGCTTTTGTAGTTAATTATATATTTGAAGTGCAAGGAAGATACGGAAAGGAGGAGACTGGGCATGTCTACTCACACAAGTTATACTGGTTTATCTTAAATTAGTGTAGTTAAACTGGTGCAACTCATTGCATTTAAAACAAGGGTTGCCAGGTGTCTGGTTTTGAACCAGACAGTCCAGTATTTGATCTTTCTGTTCAGGAAACAAATTGAGAAAATATAAATGAGAAAATATAACTGTCTGGTATTTTCTAAATAAGATGTAATGTAGATTGCGATGTAATGTCAAGTGTGTCCAGTATTTTTGTTGAAACCATCTGGCAACCCTATTTAAAACTGGTTTTATCAGTTTACCTTGCGCATGCAAATTCACTAGTGCAAGTAAGTCAAACTTAAACTGATTATAAGCATGTCCATATGCAAACTGTTCCTCCAGGGCTTGGCTAGAGTAGGTTCTAGAACTGTGGTGGACAAAGAGGCTGCCAAGGGCTGGCCCACGGATGCCCTGGTGCTCCCCTACCCTCAGGCCAATCAGGGCTTGCGGGCGGGAGGAGCACTCAAAGTGTCTTGCTTCCTGCTCCTGCCATGCAAGGGATGTAATCAGCACTTTCCTCGCACCCCTTTCAGGCCAGAGAGTGAAAGACTTTGTACGTTCCTCTTGCCCCCAGGCCCTGATTGGCGTGGGAGTAGGGAGAGTGTGTGAAGTCTCCTTCCACCCTACATGGGATGTACAGCACTTTCATTCTGCATGCCCCTTGCAGGGTGGGGAGCAGGCAGTGAAAGTTCCCTTGTTCCTCCTGCCCCCAGGCCTTGATTGACCTGGGGTGAGGGGCGTGTGCAAAGTCTCCTCCTACCGCAAGGGGGGTAGGTGTCTAGAGGAAGCCACCAGCTGTTCTGAACAGCTGGCGGTTCTCTGTGGGTGGGGAGAGAGCGGGGCAAAGACTTCACACGCTCTCCTACCCCCAGGCCAATCAGGGTCTGTGGGCAGGGGAGCATGGAAGTGTTCTGGCCTTGCCCCCTCCGCCCGAGACCCCGTCCCTTCCAGGATGGCCTGGGGCCACTTCAAAAATTAGTAAAGTGCCCCCCCATTTAAAATTATTGTCCACCCCTGTTCTAAAAGGTGGAGGTGGCCAATATACCCAAAGAATGCCAAGAGCTTGGGTTTGTAAACACTCTAAATAAATAAAAAATATGTAAATAAATAAAACTGACATTTTTGTATTTGAAGAGGAAAAGACTGATGTTTTGAACTTCATTATATATTTTGCTGTTAGGATTTGGTACTGTAGCTGAAACAGATATAGCTTCTAACTGTGATTCACCTTCACTGTAGTTGTCAAACCCATTATGTTAACCTTTCACATTTTCCCCATTGTTGCTTTTCATCTTTAATTACTAACTTCATAAAGAAGAGGCATAATAGTTTTTTTATCTGAAGTAGCCAAAGTTTCCCCAGAGAAGATGTAGTATTATGATGAGCACAAGATTGCCATGTAAGAAATTTAATAGTGTGTAACACAAATTAACACTGTTATAACCATTTAAAAATAGCATTTGAATAGAGCAGTGTGCAGTGTTTCCTGTATAAAAGGTAAACTTTTGCTTTTTTTCCCTCTTGATCGACATATTTTTCTTTTAACAACCTTCTTTCCCTTTCCTATTGATTTGTGTTTCAGTAGTGTACAGATCTCTACAAATGTAAACTGTTAAGCTGACTTTGTCTCTGGTACATGGTCTGAACAGTAAGATATTACACAGACTAAATGAAGGAAGTAATTACCGTAGTAATACTGTGGCAACAGTTCTACCTACTGTTGTCAAGGCACCCCAGGTGTGTTCAGTTTCAGCTTGGCTCTGTTATGTTAATTAGACCTCTGGAAAGGGTTGTAGTCTCAACAGTGTGTGGCATTGTGTGTGTTGGAGTACCAGTGTTAGAACTGAGACACCTGTGGGTTCAGATTCTGTGGGAGACATTTATTTTTAATTACTTTTTTTTATATGTAAGTAAGGGTGGGTGATTTACCTCTGATACCTCACCAGAAAGGGTACATGTGGGGCTGGTGGCAGTAGGGAGTAAACTGTTCCTCTCCTCTCCCTTGCATATGCAGCCTACCTAGTAGGGCAGACAGTTGGATAGGTGGGAGAACTGGGCTTCCACATAGCTAGAGTTGCTTCAGGGAGTATTCTCCCCTGCTGCTATGAAAAGATCCACTAGGGAGCCAGAGGGCAATGAGGAACAGATGGAGTAGGATAACAATCTTGAATTTGGAGAGAATCCTCATTCTATCATGACAGAACACACAGGCGTAAGTGTTTAGCAGCATCAGCGCTACATTGGGTTGTTGTAAAATATCCATGTTGTGTAGAAGAATAGTTAAGGGGACTGTCACTGTAGTATTTCCTTTAACTCTAGGACACACATAGGAAACACTACCAATACAGAAGCAATGTTGTTGAGGTGTCTCAGTCAGCTTTCATAGCAGTGCCTCAGGATTATTTGAAGCTATTTTAATCCCACTACAATCCTGCCCAGCAGTATCTACTCCTGTTGGCCCCAGTGGGATTTATCATGTGCCAACCTGGTTCCAACGTATCTTAGATTTGTATAGGTTCAAATATGGAGCAAAGTGACAAAATATTCCATACATGGCTTTGCTTTTAAAAGATTAAAATATTGCAAACTTTAATACGATGTGTGCCATTCTAGTTACTGTGTTATATCAAGTACTTATTGTTTTGATAAAAATTATTCTGATACTTAAAATTTTCCTTCTGTGCTGCTAGTGAGAGACTGTAAAGCTTTAATGGCAATGTCTGGTAGAATTGTTCATTTCAAAGACTCCTAAGCACAAACAGAGGAAGAGAAAATATCATTTTTAAAGGAATTTAATAACACATATGGTGTTTAAATGATTTTACGAGACTGCATAAAATAGCAACCTGTTTGACAACAATTGATATACAGGTTGGACCTCCCTGAATGAGGGAGTTTGTTGGGCCAAGGGAGGTCAATTCCACCCTTCTGCTGACCGACTCAGGGCTCTCCTTGGGTTCATCAGCAGAGAGCTCTCCCAGGCTCTGCTGCCCTCAAGGCGTCTGGGGTTCCATTTTTGCTGGGGCCATTGGTGCTGTCACTACCCCTTCAGCTCTGGGGCTGTCGGGGCTCCGCAGCACCAGGGCCACTGGGTCAGTGGGGCTCTGCAGCCCTGGAGGCTTCCCAGGCCTTTGTGCTCCTGGCACCATTCTGGCTGCTGGGATCTTAGGGCTCTCTGGTCCAGGATACAACTGTATTACATAGCAGAGCTAATTTCATACTGTCTTCCACCCTTATGCAGAAGAAGTTGAAGAAGAGTCCGAAACTACAAATGAGGTTGATTTGACTGATAAACAGAAGCATCAGTTGAAGCACAGAGAGCTCTTTCTTTCTCGCCAGTATGAGTCCCTTCCTGCAACACATATCAGGTAAAAAAAGTTTTAAGAGTATCTAATTTTTGGCGGTTGCAATGAGTTGTCCACTCTGCCCACGAGCATGGCCAGACAGTTTGGGGATTGAGCTGGAGACTTGTATAGCTGGGATTGCAATCCTGAGCTGTTTGTGACAGGATACAAAGATTTAAAAGGAAATTTGATCCAACCCATTTGTTGATAACCCTAAAAGATATAATGCCTGAATTTGGCTAAATGTTACAAGAGCATTTCTGCTATCATATCCTTAGAGATCTTTTATATTTAAACAACATTAAAATTTATAGTTTGGGGGTATAGATTTGACATCCTTCTACCCATATCTTCCTTCATTTTTCAATAATCTGACAATTCGAAATAACTAATTCGAAATAACGCATCTATACACAAAAACTATTTTGAAATAGCGTTTTGTTATTCTGAAATAGTTCGGCCACACTGAGTGGACCCAGAACTGAAGTTAAGGCTGGCCAGAACCAGTGCCATCAGGGCATCAAGTTGGGACTTAATGTGTGGGGCTGCTGCCTGAGGCTAACTGAGCTCCGTACTTAAAGGGACCCTACCCTCACCCTGGACAGACAGTTCTCAGGGTTCCCCGCTTGCTTGTTTACCTCGATGAGGGACAGCAAAGCAGTCCTGTCTTGGAGTGCCCTGAGTGCCCGCACTCGGGACACCACAGCACTAAGCCACATGGAGCCAGAGCTACCCCTGGGCATGACGGTGCATCTCGTGGGGTCATTGCCATCAGACCGGCTGCACTTGCTGCAGGCTGCCATCCGGGGGTCCATTGGGGGGCTGTCAGGATCCAGGAGGCCCCGAGGGAGAGAGCGTCCACCCCGAGGAGCCCTCAGAGCCTCCCTGGTCCTCCCCACTGGGGGCTCGTGCCTCATTCCTCCCTCACATCCTTCCACTGACCCGTCCCTAGCCCCCCTTCCTGATGTCAGAAATAGAAACTGGATTTATTGAACCAAACTGGGGGGGATGGGCCTCTGGGGAGACTGGGAAAAGGAGGTGGGCAAGGGTGTCAGCCGACAGTCAGGGCTCCCTATATCTGTCCCTTAAGACCGGCTGAAGTTCTTTTAAATTGTGCTTGGTTCTGTTACAGCAACTGACGGAGTCAGGTTAAAACTTAAACAGTTACAGGTTTATTAAAGAAGCTTATAAATCATATGGTTACAATGGCTATTGCTCTATTTCTTAACTACTAGCAAAATATAGATACTGCTAGCAAAATATAGATCTTAAAAATGGTTACAAAGAAGATAAAGATAGAAAAATAGAAATAATGGTACCAAGTAACAGCTTACTCTTTCTATGTGTACACTTAAGACAGAGGACCACATCCAGGTACAATTTTTACCCCCTTCTGTGCCTCTCAACTCCAGCATGTCAGGCCAGGGCCGGTCCCTCAATTCCTAGGAAAGACGAAAATACGAGATGGGTGTCCCCATAGAACCTCGGGAGGTCAAACACCTAACCCGACCAGCAGGTAGAGGGTAGAATGACACTCAAAGTGAGTGTGTGCTGGCATTTAAAATTTAAAAGACTTGCTATCAAGCACTTAAATGGTGGTGCCATTGTTCTTGTAGGTTTATTTTAAGCTATGTCAGTGGCTATGGAGTGAAGGATGCAAGGAAACAATGTGAAGTTGGCTAGAGTTTATCTTCACTTCTTAAAATAACACAGATGCCTCACAGAGTGGCATGATATGTAGTGACATTTTAGCTCTGTTGTCACTCTGTAAAATAGCCAACTGGGACACCATAGATAGACATCAGCTTTGAAGCTTAGCAGATATTGTCTCAATATCTAATTTTTAAGTTGTGTAAGTTATGAATACATAAAACATTTACTCTTAAATCAAAATTACCTCTAGTAAAGCTTGACAGTAATTGTCAGCAGCCATGTGAGAAAAATACAGCAGTTGTAAAAAATGTTCCATACCTAAGGACATTAAACTTCTGTTTCATAGTAAACATTTATCTAAAGTAAAATTTGTGTGTCTGCTTTTCAGGAGACTTTTCAAAGGCATCAGGGACATATAATGGTGTGCTTGATCATATTAAATAAATGTTCCTCCAACTAGGGCTGAGATCATGGAAGGAGAAGGCCGCCCGCCTTCTCCGGGCCCTGGCAGGCTCCTGGAAGCTGACAGACTGCCCCTGGGGGGTGGTGGAGGGCTGGCTGCCAGTGGCTTGCTGGCTCATGTTTTGGGGCCACTGGGTCGGGGGCTCCGGTGTCCACTGCTGGCTCTGGGCTGGCAGGCTTGGAGCTGGCCCCTTTAATGTCTCCGGGGCTGAGGGAGAGGAGAATAAGCTTTCCTGGTTGTGCCCAGAGTGGCCACCAGGGCTCTCTGGGAAGGGCTGTAGGCCCCCTATTTCTAATTAAGTGTCTACACAGCACTTAATTCGAAATAGCTGTTTCGAATTTGGCATTACTCCTTGTAGAATGAGGTTTACCAAATTCGAAATAAGGGCTCCACTATTTCGAATTTATTTCAAAATAGTGGTTTGCCTGTGTAAATGCTATTAAAGTTAATTCAAAATAACTACTGTTATTTTGAATTAACTTTGTAGTGTAGACACATCCTAATGAGACTAAAAGGGATGCTGCGATAAAAGAAACAAGGAACAAAGGTAAATGGAAGAGAAGGGTACAATTATAGGCTGGTAATGCAAGGCAATTTTGGGTCTCCCAGTACATCCAGTCTAGTCTGTTACTTGAGAAGTCATCAGTATTTCGAAGCTTGTCCACTTTGGCCAAAGGAAGTACAGTAAAACTCAAATAGTCCAGCATCCAGTTGTCCGGCACTCCTGATAGTCCGGCATCAACTGGAACCCGGAACTGATCAGGTCAGCCTCTCTCACGGCTGGGCCACTGTGAGCCGCATGCGCGTTCACGGCCCGCACTGTTCCGCTCACGGTCCCCAGCGCACACAGCGTTCAGCCTGCCCGTGCTAACAGCAGGCCGCTGAGCACAGGCAGCTGCTTTGGGACCCGGACATAAGGTTGGGGAGAAGGGAGATTGAGTGACAGCAGGGAGGGGAGGTGTTTGGCCCTGGGGAAGAGAAGAAGAGGGGAGGGGGATTGGATTGCGCACAGCATCCTGGTCAGCTCATTGAAAAGCTGGCCTCTCAGCGCATATTCCCCAGCGCCTGGAGGGAGACGTATGGCTGTACCAGCGGCTCTGGGACCCAAGCATAAGGTGGGAGGTGGGGGGAGGAGAGGGGTTGAGTTTGGAGTATGCCCCTTATAGTACCTCCTGGTACTCCGCCACATACGATAATCCGGCACCACCTAGGTCCCAAAGATGCTGGATTATCGGAAGTCCACTGTACTTTGCATTGCACAGGAGAGGGCATTTGTGGTCTTAGAGGATACAACCGAGGACTAGCAGTTGAATAGAACAAAAATATTTCCCAGCTCTGTCACAGTCTCACTGTATGACTCAGTTTTTGTATCTTTGGGGGGTTTTTTTCACAGGCAATTGCAGGACAGTAATCTACCTTTGTGCATTTTAACTTGATTTTGTCCTAAGATAAACCACCAAGGGTACTTTTAGTGCATGATAAGAGTGTCCACACAAGGAGTTCCTGCAGAATAGGTAGTGTGCTATAAATTGACGCATAACTCGTTGCAGTTATTTCCCTGTAGACAAGCCCTACGAAATGGAGATAATACTGCTCACTCAACATTTCATCTAACTGAAATCTGTACATGAAAATCACTCTTATGTATTATTATTTATTACAAGAGAACTCCTGCTCTAATAGAACAAATTGCCTTTGTTCACCTTCCAGTGCAAAGATAGCTATAATATGAGGAGCAAGTAGAGTAGAACATCACTAGCTCACACTTCGCTACTCTTCCCTTAAAATGCTACTGTATATTGTAGATATGTGGAGGTGTAACCATGTATAGAGGCAACAGCAGGGTGGGCCAGGGAGAAGGGGGCAGCTGGTACGCAGAGGAATGTGAAAGTATAACCATGTACAGAGGCAGCAACAAAGGAGGGCTGTCGGTATGCAGATGGATGTGAAAGTGTAACTCTGTACAGAGGCAGCATTTCAGGATAGGCTAGGGAGGCAGGCAAGAGCCAGTATGCACAGGGCTTAAAAGTTTCAGTGGTTACATGGTTACTTAATTACACACATTTTAACATCCCTAGTATGCTGTAGTAATTACACAGTGTAGCGCACACATAAAAAATGGTGTTTTCTTCTACTTCTGAGCAAAAAATAGTAATTTTGTAGTGTGAGTTACCAAGACCTGAATTACTTTTTACCTTCCCGAACAAGTGCATGTACTGTAATGAATTTCTAAAATGAAACTACGTTTATCAAAATACATGGACACAATATTGCATTTTCCTTGCTTTGAATGATGTTTATTAATTTACACAGTTCAAATTCCCAGTACTTCTCTCAGTTTTTAATATGAATTAGTGAAAAAAGAGGAAAAAATTGGTGGGGAAATAGAAGGGCCCTCTTCTTTTTCCCCCCTCTCTCACCTCAGTAGTACTCACTCAAAGAACCAGAGTGTCAGGGAATAAAAATTGTCCTATCTCCAAAATGGAGCTATGTGAATTTAAATCACCAGAGGTTTTAGCCCTTCAAATGGAAAAGACATGTAGTACAGATGGCAGAGGAGAAGGTCATTCAAATAAAGGTGATGAACACAGAAGTTGACAGGGGTACCAAAATGAATTAAGTTAGAGGTGAGTAACTTAATTTTGTTGCAAAAGCAGCGAGGAGTCCTGTGGCACCTTATAGACTAACTGAAGTGTTGGAGCATAAGCTTTTGTGGGCAAAGACCCACTTCGTCAGATGCATGTAGTGGAAATTTCTTTTGAATATTCAGACTAACACGGCTACCTCTCTGATACTTAATTTTATTGGTGGACTTGCCTTTCTCATTTGCTTTAGGCTCCCAGTTCTAATGCAGAGCTTAAAAATTGTCCAACATCTTCTCCCATGATGGAAACTACCTGTGTTGCTG